AGACCCACACGCCACTCCTCAGAAACCCTGTAGAGGATCTCTATGAGTTGGAACCAACTCAGTGGCACTTAACAATAACAACATAGATGCTGTAGGGTAAGCACTGGACTGCTAACAGAAAGGTTAAGAGGAGCTTCAAACCTAGTAGCTCCTCTGTAGGAGAAGGGTGAGACTTTCTACTCTAGTAAAGAATTGCGGGCTCGGAAACCCTCTGTAACAGGATCCCTGTGAGTCAGAATGGGCTTGGTGACTGTGGGTTTGGTTTGGGAACAGCAGCAGCCGTAACCTAAGCCTTGCTGTTTAGATACAGAGACATTGTTGAGAGTTATTGTTAAGATAGAAGGCATTAGTATGTTTCTTGTAATCTTTTTGATAGGTCTGTTTTCCTTCCATGTTTCTGGCTTAGGTATATATGCTTTTGATAAAATGAGAGAAGAGGATTTAATTTTTTAAACATATATTTAAAAACATATGTTTAACTGGTAGCGGAGTGGGTATGAATCAGGCTGCTAACCTCAAGGCCAGCAGTTCGAAACTACCAGCTGTTCCGCGGGAAAAAGATGAGACTTTCTGCTCCTGTAAAGATTTACAGCCTCGGAAACCTTGTACAGGATCGCTATGAGTCGGAACCGACTCCACGGCAAATAACCACCACCAAAAACAATGTTTAACATATAATATGAAGTTTAAAATTATTTTTACTAGGGTTCCAGTTCACACACGCGTGGGCTTATTCTAAACAAAATGTATTTAAACATGTCTTTGTAGGCAAGTTCTCTAAGTAATATACTTGTCTTAGTCCATAAAAGTTTTATCCACTTTAAAAATTATGTATTAATTCACTGAAATGTTTTAGATGGTTTATGTTGGTCAATATATAGTATTTCTTTTGAGTCTCTTCTAATCATGGATTAACAAGAAGAAAGAGAAGGACTCTTGTAGTATCAGGTGGCTTTTAAGGGGATCTGCGTAATATATTTTATGTTTTTATTTTAGTCCACACAACATTGAAAACAAAATACATTGTTTTAACATAGCATTCTGATCTAATAACATGCAATCTAAGTTTTAAAACATCTCTTTACTGTGATGTCTCGAATCATATATGTTGTGCATTTTGACTCACACTTTTGTATGTAAACCTGAAGAATGGTTTTTCTCAACCATAGTTTCCTATACTTTGTGTGATACTGTTATTGTTTAATTTATTTCATTTTTTTAAATGCTTGTGCCAAATTTAACAAATTATTTTATGATCAAATAATAAAGGTGTCATCTATGATTTAAAAAACATTAGATTGTTTTATTTAACTTTAGTGCTAAGCATGTTTTTTCAGTATACTAAAAATACTTCAAATAATAAAGCACTGTATTAAAGTAGCATTGGTACACAAAATTTGATTATATTCCATTGTCTAATTCTGAATATTTGCTTTCTGTAAGTTAAGTCCATAAAAGTTTTATGTACTTAAAAATTGTGTATTGACTAAAGTGTTTTAGAGGATTTATGTTAGTCAGTATAGAGTCTCTCCTTTGAGTCTCTTCTAATCATGGATTAACAAGAGTAAAGCGAAGGATTCCTGTAGTGTCAGAGAAGGAAAGAATTCTTGCTGGCATAAGAGATGGGCAGCTCAGATTTTGATCTCTAACCCTGTCGCAACATACTGCCCACTGTCATCAAGTGAATTCCAACTCTTAGCCACCCTTTATAGGGTTTTGTTGTTGTTAAGTGCTGTCGAGTTGGTTCTAATATAGTGACCACAGAGCAGCTGGTAAACTTGAACCACCAACCTTACGATTCAGACGGCTTTGCAGTCCTTCACATTAACCCACATCGCCACACCATTGTTGTTGTTGTTAAGTACCATCGAGTCAGTTCTGACCCATAGCGACCCTGTATAGGGTTTCCAAGGAGCAGCTGGTAAGCTTGAACCACCGACGTTGTGGTTCACAGGGCTTTGCTGTCTGGCGCATTAACCCACAACACCACACCAGAACTCGCCACATCATTATGAGGCTGTAAATCTTTACTAAAGCAGAAAGTCTCATCTTTCTCCCGTGAAGCAGTTGGTGGGTTTGAACTGCCTACCTGCGGTTAGCAGTATAGTGTTTATCCTAACAGTGTCACCAGGGCTCCTTACCAACATACCATATATCCTTAATAAGTCATTTCTTTCTCTCGGTCCTCAGTTTGTTTACCTATTAGAGGAAGGGGGTTGGGGATAGCATGCCTGTCTTGAAGTCACTTTCATTCTGTGAAACTTAGAGTGGCTTGACTGCTAAGTCATTAGAATTTGCTGCCTATATCTGATGAAAAAGAAAGGGGGTTTCTATTGGAATTTCTGACTTTATTAATTGCCTTTGCATTTGAGCAAGACTTAGGCAGGTTGTATTTAGTGTATATGGACAAGAGTGATTCATCCATTATAAATATCAAAATAATCTTGACATCCCAAGATCTGGTTACCTTTGGATGTCATTTTTTCTTAGTGAGAGGCAAGGCAATGTGAACGTATATGTGTGTATATCCCTAAAATGCTGAGAACTCTTAGCATTGTTATTATTATCAAGTACCACCCAGTCGGTCCCGACTCATAGCAACCCTGTATAGGGTTTCGAAGCAGCAACTGGTGACCTTGAACCGCCGACCTTGTGCTTCAAGCCCACCTTGTGGTTGAGCACTTATATTATAGCACCACACAGGAGTTATTATTGTTGTTGCTTTTAAGTGCCGTCGAGTCGATTCCAACCCATAGCTACCTTGTATAGGGTTTCCAAAGAGCAGCTGTTAAACTTGAAATGCCGACTTTGCAGTTCAAATGATTTTGCAGTCTACGCATTAACCCATAGCGCCATACCAGGACACCTGGCAGAGTAAATGTGCACTAAAGGATTTCCCAGACTGTAATCTTTATGGAAGCTGACTGTCTCATCATTCTCCCACAGAACCGCTAGTAGGTTTGAACCACAGACATTTTGGTTGGCAGCTGAGCACTTTATCATTGTTCTGTTTCCAATGAATTGGTAGTTTAGCCAATCACATGGAATGTCTTGATAGGTAAATTCTAAGCTTCAGAAATCTATAACCTCTGGTAATCCTTGTTGTGAGGTGTAGTCGAGTCCATGCCAACTCATAGCAACCCCATATAGGGTTTCTGAGAAGTGGCTTGTGGGTTTGTCTAACCTTTTGGTTAGCAGTCCCGTGCTTGTCCTCCAGTACCACACTAGGAGTCCTAGGTAACAAGGTTTTGAGTACCATATATTGTAGTTAGTCTGAGACTTTTCAGAATTTACCTATTCTAGTGTAAGTTACGTTTGAAAGAGGAGACCATATTCCTTGACATTAGGAGTCTTTGTATGACACTGTGGGACAAGGCACTGGATTGCAAGGTTAGTTTGAACTGCAAGGTTGGCAGTTCAAATTTACCAGCCGCTCCTAGGAAACTCTATGTAGGTTCCCTATGAATCGTAACTGACTCGATAACATTTAACAGCAACAATACATAACACTAAAAACAATAACTGTCATTCATGTTTTTAAAAATTTGTGTGCTTGTTTTACAAAGCAGGGATTTGTATTACAGTTTGGAGTTTAATAGACCTTGGTAACCATTTCCCATTTTACTTTCTAGAAAACAAGTCTTGGATGCTCTTACCTGGGTCTCCAGAAGTAGACAGAGTTAGGAGCAGATTCTCAGTCTCCATGTGTAGGGCCAGTGTTTTCATTGACTTTCAATTTATAGACTTTTGGGGGGGGATTGCTGTATTTAAAAGAAAACCTAGATATTCCATTCTAACTTGTATCTCAAAGGGTGTTAGACCCATTAAAAGAATATGATTATCATTAAAGTGGAGATGTACTCCTACCTGAGGAACTGATGAAGTTAGTGGTATGCTTTTTTCATAAAGGCCCCAGCATAGATGTAAGACTATCTGAACCCTAGGTGGCTGAGGCATATGCTAGATTTCTTTTAACTCCTCTGACTTCACAAGAACCCAGCCATCTCAAAGCATTGGTGACTTTCTGTTATTTCAGTTGCCTAAGCCCACCCTTTAGTGTTGAAGTGCATTAGAACTTCTAGACTTCTGTATTCTGACTCTATAGTTAATATACCCCTCACAGATCTAACCATTATTTTGTGATACCCTATGGAGTCCTGGTGTGGCACTGTGGGTTAATGCACTGGACTGCAAAGTTGTTTTGAACTGCAGGGTTGGTGGTATAAGCTCACCAGCTGCTCCTTGGAAACACCATACAGGGTTGCTATGGGTTGGAACTGACTCGATGGCACTTAACAACACCAACAACAATGCTTGGACAATGGCGCTGTAGGGTAAGCACTGGACTGCTGTTCACAAGGTTAGTAGTTCAAATTCACCAGCCATTTCTTGGAAACCCTATACAGTGTCTCTGAATCGGAACTAGCTCTACAGGACTTAGCAACAACAAATGCTTGGATGGAGAAAGTTCCTTGTAGATGGTTCTTAATGAAGACTTTGTCCTAACTAGTTACTAGTTTGTGTATAACAAGTTGTTAAGTTGATCATCCTGAAATATTAGAATAGATTTTTTTGAAGTGAGCGAAATCTTTTTCATTTTACATTAAAGTATTTCTAATGAGCTGTCCTCTCCTTTCCTGCCATGCCATCATCCTCTACAGTATGCCGAGACTTTGCTGTCCTGGAGGACCACACCCTGGCTCACAGCCTGCAGGAACAAGAGAGTGAGTAATCACCCTCCTTATTCATGCTCCTTCAGTTTTCCCCTTTTAGTAGTAGCTTGAGGCTGGTTTCTTAGTGTGAGGCAGAAGGAGAACATAGTCATCAGGCTACAATGTCTAAGATCTGTTCAGGCAAATGATGCTTGGATGAAGAATGAAGTTCTGGGTGTTTTGAAGTACCAGGGATTAGAAGATAGCTGAGTCTGTAGAATGGAGGAAAAGGGTCAGATGATCCTTTCTCTTCCCTCAGTGTTGCAGGAGAGAGACAGTGACTGTAGATTAATGTGGGCTGCACAGAAAGCAGGCTTAGTATCTATTCATTTCTCTAGAGCACAGGCCTGACAATTCTTTTCAGGCAAGTGATACCTCATTTAAGTCACATTGTTGAGTTTTCTGAGTATCTATGTATGTGCAATGGGAAACAAATCTAAGCTATATGAGGTATATAGAGGTATGTATTAGTTTGTCTGTCATATAACTAGAAGCCTGGGTGGCACAGTGGTTTGCCACCAGCTGCTGACCTAATGAGTGGTGGTTTGAACTGTTGTTGGGGTCAGTGGCAGTTTGGAAAAAAAAAAAAAACCTGACGAGTTGAATTTGTAATGATCATAGCCAAGAAAACCCAATGGAGCAATTCTACTCGCCAGCACATGGGTCGCCATGAATTAGGGTCAACTTGATGGCACCTAACAACCACCACAACCATTATGGATAATTTTGATTTTTTTTATCAATTCATGTATCACTGTTAAAATTGTAGATTGAAAAATGTAGTTAATAGAGTGGAGACAGTGGTACTAGGAAGAACCCTGTCCTTGGTGTCATAATATCTGTGAATAAGTTTGGGTATGGCTGCTTTTTGCTGTGTGATCGAAGTCAAATAATTCAGCCTGTCTGATCCTCCTTTAACTTAATGCAAAAATGGGGAAAAAAATCATTCCTGTACTGATTACTATACAATGTTGTTGAGAGTGTAACATGCAGTGATATATGGGAAATTACTTTTAATGGTAAAGCTCTTGTAAGTTGGCTGTAAAGTTTATTATTAACATGCCAAAGCATTATAACTTTAAACATCTCAATCTTTTTGTCCAGTTGAGCATCACTTGGCATCAAACGTTCAGCGAAACCGTCTGGTTCAGCACGATCTCCAGGTGGCTAAGCAACTCCAAGCGGAAGATTTAAAAGCCCAGGCTCAGCTCCAGAAACGTTACAAAGACCTGTGAGGATCTGCCGAGGGGGAAGGGAGTCATGCAACGAGGGACTGACGGTCTCTGTGGAGGAAGTCAGGCCATGGGAGGAGGAGACTCACTTCCGGTCCCTCTGATTCCTTTCACTATTTGATTTCAGATTCCACAATAGCAATTCAATAGTTTTTAAATTCGAATTTGTTTTTTCTAGTGTTGAAGCTCTTTGACTACTTGTGTGGGGTATATGGATTCTGGTGTGAACACTGTATAGTTCTATGACGTTGAACCAATTGATCTATCTCTTTGATTCTTTTTCCTTACCTATAACATCAAGAAAATGAGCTCTGTCCCAGTGTCGCATAGGCTGTCGAGGGGGCCCAGGAAGATTATTGGTAACAAAGTACTTTATGAGTTGTACTGGTTCCTGTACTCGTTCCTAGTTCCTTCTTTCCTTTCTTGCTTGAATCAACTTTGCTTTTCCAGCAGAAGTGAAATGTCCTACATTTAGATGCAAGGATAAGTAAAAAAATATTGCTCCTAGGGTTCTGGTTCATATATGCTCAAGCATATTCCAAACAAAATGTGTTTAAAAGTGTCGCTCTGATCAATTTGATGGCTTCAGACAAATTCTCAGAAATACATTTGTCGTAATCTTGTAACAGTGCCTTCTAAAAAAAAGTTCAATCAGAACAGTGGCTTCTGAGCAGGTCTGTTGGGATAATTAAAGTCAAAGTAGAGAGATCAACAGAAAATTATGATGGTTGTTTTTGGTATCCCAAGGTGATCATTTTGAAAGATTTTCTTTAAGGATACAAGACGATCCTTAGTAGATTAGGAAGACAGTTACATTATTTACAAGAAATTTTAATACAAAAATTTAAGACTGAATTGTCGAGAAAAAGGCCAGGAAAGTTGTGCCGAGGAATGTTGTACACCCACAGCAGTGAATCTGCCAATTCTTTCAGGGTAGAAAGGATTGTCCTACGAGTATTTCATTGGAAAAACTTACCCCATCCACTCTGCAGCTCTGATCTTGGATCCTTCAGAGTTCTTTTTTTCCACAAAATTCAAAGAACATTAAAAAGAACATAATTTGAATCCCTTGACCTTGCCAAAACTGTTGTTTTGACGTGTTGTAGATAGATGGAAGAGCACAGAATTCTTCAGAAAGTGTTTTTTGTTGTTATTAACTGAAGTCAGTTAAATTCCAATTCATAGTAAACCCTGTACAGTGTTTCTGAGGAGCAATTATGGCTTTGAACAACTGACTTTGTGGTTCATTTTCCAGTGCTTATCCTTATGGAAATGTAAATACCACCTTGAAAAGTATATAGACCTGGATGGATGATATGTCAAGAAACAATAGCTTCACATTTTGATATTTTTGTTTAATATAGATTTTAAGATTTTATAGCAATACTTTTTTTTAAAATTTTTATTGTGAATTAAGTTTACATGGGAGAACATTAGCCCTACATTCATCCTGTTGTATTTCGTTTCATTGCAATGAGTACAGTCCCCTCCATGCATCACCAACCAACCAAACGGTATACTCCATAAGCCTACCCATGGCTGTCAGCACACAGACCTTCTCTCTCCCTGAGTCCAGAGTCCCCAGCTGCTCCATCTCTCCACGTCATCATCTCTGCTTCCATCTCTGGCGTCACTGCTTCTCTGGATAGGGTCCTGCACTCTGCTCTTCTCCCTTGATGGTCCCAGGGACCTTCGCTCCTGGACTACAAAATCAACCACTCCCCCCATTTTGTTACAAAATGTCTACCTTTACATTTCTGACCCTCACAGTCATTCCTGATAGCAATTTTTCAATATTGAACAACAAGAGTGTTATACCCATCTCCTTTCATCGGCCCTGTCCAGACAGGTAGGAAACCACTCAGTGGAGATAATACCTTCCCTCGCACCCTCTGGAACTAGGCTCCTTCTTGAAAGCTTGTAAGCCAGTCACTTCTTGCCTTTGTAGCTCCCCCTGATTTTGGGTAGCCAATGTCTAAGTTGCCCATCTGTATACAGAGGGGGAGGAAATGATCCTTGCTATAAAGATTTGTTCCCTCTTTTGAGCTACTGCATCCATAAGTTTAGGTCAAGTTAATCAAATTGTAGCACATTAGTCTCTTTTTTCCTCTTCTTTCTTCTTCTAGTTGAGTTCTGATCATCCAGCCATTGAAGCCAGGTCAAGTAGGTACTATCTGCAAGTCTGGGTGTTCTTGTGTATCTCCCTTCACTTCATATCAACTGGACGTATCACTCTCTTCTCTAATCCTCTGTGGCCATGTCCCTGCCTCTGATCCCAAGAGTCCCCAGGTCTTGCCATACTGTTGACCAACCAGGCTCAACCCGGGTTGACAGGAGTCTATTGAACGTGGTCAGGCTTAGCTCACAACTTCATTGCTGTTTTCCCCCCACTTCCCCTTATCGGTGACCAACATGGTCACCAGCAAGACCACATGCCTGCTCACGTATTCCCTTGAGTCTCAGTCTTGAAAGGGGATTTGTGCTGAGGGGACTTGATTGCTTGCCTTGATGGCTCCTGGGTGAACATTTGCTTGTTCTTGTAGTAGTCAGTCAGACTGCTGTTAATTGTTTTTGATTTTTTCTGCTGGTCTTTCTTTCCAAGAAGTATCTTTGGTTCTTTTAGCCGCTCCAGGCTGGTCTGCTTGTCCTTTCAAGTGGAAACTTCCCACCTGAGAAGATTCTGGTTGGCGATCAGGATTCCACCTATGATCTTATGGAATACAAAATCTCTGCAGGAAGCCTCCTTCACTGGACAAATTCTAGCCCCATTTCAGGTATTCCAATCAGTTATAGGCTGAAGACGGACTTACAAGTTTTCTGTGGTGATGTTTCTGGCTATTCCTTTCTCCCCTCTACAACTGTTTATTTTACAATAGTAGGCAAGGGAAACCAAGATTCAAAAGACAACCAAGCATCTTAGCATTATTTCAATTATTTTATCCTTTCAAACCATGCCTCAATCCCTGTATCCCAGAGCCCTGTTGTTCCAAGGTTGTGCATAAATCATTATTTACCTCTTTCCTACTTAGCCCATGAAAACCTGCCTAATTGTTCTCATATCCACCTTGTTCTTCCATTCCCCTCCCCCTTCATGTGTATTGCTCCCCCCCCACCCAGCATCCAAACTATCCCTTATCTGTTCCCTATTCTGTGCTCCACCTTCCCCTCCCTCCCCTCACCCCCCATACAGCCCAATAACCGTCAAAGAATTTTCCCCCTTTTAGTGTGGGAACTTTTTCTTAGTAGTTTTTTTTTAATGCTTTATTGTGAATTATGTGATAGTTTACATGGGAGGACATCAGCTTCACATTGATCCTGTCGTAGTATATCGTTTCCTTGCCATGATTACAGTCCCTTCCATGCATCATCCATCAACCAAAAGGTGTACCCCGCAAGCCTGCCCCCTGGTCGTCCGCATACAGCCCCTCTCCCTCTCTGGGTTTAATCTTTTACAATAATGATCATATGCAGTGTTTCTCCTTTTGTGACTGACTGATTTCACTTAGCATATCCTCAAGGTTTATCCATGTTATATGGTGGTTTGCAGCTTCCTTGTTATTCTTCAACAAAGCAGCATAATACTCCATTGTGTGTATGTACCAAAGTTTGTTTATCCATTCTTCCCTTGATGGGCACTTAGGCTGTCTCCATCTTTTTGCTATTGTAAATAATGTTGCTATGAACATTGGTGTGTGTATATCTACTAGTGTTATGGTTCGTATTTCTTGTGGGTAAATACCAAGTAGAGGAATTGCTGGATCATAAGGTATTTCTATTTCCAACCTTCTGAGGAAGTGGTTGAACCATTTTACAATCCCACCAGCAATGTAGGAGGGTCCCAGTCTCTCCGCATTCTCTCCAACATTTATTGTCCTCTACTTTTTTGATCATTGATGTTATTGCTTGTGTGAGATGATATCTCATTGTTGTTTTGATTTGCATCTCTCTAATGGCTAGTGATTGTGAACATTTCTTCATATGTTGGCTGACTGCCTGCATCTTCTCCTCTGTGAAGTGTCTGTTCATGTCCTGTGCCCATTTTTTAATTGGGTTATTTGTCTTTTTTTTGTATAGGTGTTGTAGTTTCCTGTATATTTTAGAAATTAGTTCTTTGTTGATGCATTGTTGCAAAAGATATTTTCCCTTTCTGTTGGTTCCCTTTGTACTCTTTTGGTGTGAAGTCTTTTGTTGCACATAAGTTTTTATTTTTAGTATGTTCCAATCATCTATTGTTGACTTTTGTTTGTGTAATTTTCTCAAAACGTGTGGTAGTCTGTGTGCCATGTATTAGAACCCTCACATTTGCCCCTGTTTTTTTCATTGATGGCCTTTATAATTCTAGGATTCACATTTAGGTCTGTAATGCATGTTGAGTTGGTTTTTGTTTAGGATGTGCGTTAAAGGTCTTGTTTCAATCTTTTGCATATCATTTTCTAGTTCTAGCAATACTTTCTGAGCTATCCTCATATATAAACAAAAATGATCATATCCAAAATCCCTTCTAAAACGATGACTTTTTCCTCTGTGTCAGTGATTTTAAATCTACAGAATGCATCTCTTGTTTTTGTGACTAGATCTTAAAACCTATATATCTAATGATAGATTTAAATATGTGTTGATTCTGTTGAGGAGGAAATGGCAAATGGAGAAATGAAGGGACCCCTAAGTCTACATTAGTGTTGTGTTCAAACAAAACAGGAAAGCCTATCATTTTTGCTGCCTTTGAGAAAGTTAGTCTTTGTCATTTTGTTTAACTTTTTTTACATGTAAGTGTATATTTTATTTACTGTTGTTATACCTGGCAGCAGAGTAGCCACTAGACACCACGATATGAACAAGATGTAGCCTTTGCCCATAAAGAACTCAGGAACAAAAAAACTGTGAAAATTATTTATCTAGAGATACAATCACAAAGCACAAGGCACAAAGAATTCAAGTAGTAAATTTCATGACAATGTAAAGAAGAGGAGACTGGTACGAGCTTTAAAAACAGGTTATAGATCTAGTCTGAACCTTGATTGTTGGTTAGAAGTTCATAATGATAATTGGGGAAAATGATTATAGCTGGAGGGAGTAGCATACGTAAAGGTGGAAAGTAAAAAGACTTGCTTTCTCAAATACCTGCAAAAAGAAAAAAAGAATGAAGATCAGAAAACTAGTCAGCAACTGGACCATTAGGGTCATATTATTTATGTGAAAGAATTTATGTTTTTATAGATTACTTATTATAAGAAATAGAGAATTATTGAAGGAGTCTGAGATTTTCATTCTGGGACATACTCTGGAAGATGGGTGTGTGAAGGATTGGAGGAGATGGTAAGACTGAAGGTAGTTATTGAGTGAGGATCAACTTTGGTGATACCTGGATTGGGAACAATGATGATAAAGATGAAGAGGAGGGAGATGATGAGGCCTGAAATGAGAGTAATGGTAGTGGAGATACAGAGAGGAAGAGACAGATTTGAGATGTACTGATGCTTGATGTCACAGATAAAGCTTGAGAACCAGGGTTCTAATGTTTCCGAGTAGTAAATAATTGCCCTCTTCATTACTCACAGTGCTCTTTTAGGAAGACCAGTTCTCAAGCTTATGCAGAAATGCTTGTTTTAACATTTAAATCCTGAGTTTCAGTAATGACAGTGAGTGTGTTTGCAAGATAAATAAATATAAACCAGAATTTAGAGATTGATGAACTATGGGTCCTAAATGAGAAAGGAATTAAGTATTATATTTCCTTCTGGAATTTATGGGTTATGGAGATACTCATGACTGAAATGAGTACGTTAGAAGGGAAGGGTTTCAAGTTTAGTCCTCTGGCAACATTGGTAGCTGGATATCACTGGGAGGAAGGGATGCTGAAAATTTTAGTGAACTTTCACCCAGTCTTGATTCTTGGGGCTCCTGTCTAAAATAGGCTTTTTGGTTGCTGACCAGACCTTTCTCACTAGGATTTGCTTCCTCATGATTAGCTAGTTGAACCAGAGATGGTCTTTCTTCTAAATAGTATTCAAAACCACTAAGCTCAACTGAAACTTCACTTCTTTATTTTCTGTAGCAGGAAATACATCTTCTATGTCACACTTCCTTTGGAGTTGCCATTTTGTTACTGTGTCTGCTTCCCTTATGTTGTTGTCACCTTGCATGTAGTTAGTTGCTCCTGTATAGATTTTACAGGGATGTGGGAAATCTAGGTAGTATAGTATTGCTTCCCCCCACCCTCCAAACTGTTTCAGTTACAAAAAAATGCCCTTAAACATGGACTATGCAATAAGGGTGGAGGCTCATTGAGTATTTTGAGTTTGTTGGCAGAGAGAGAGAATAAGACGTATTTGTTTAGTAAATGAAGTGCATAGGAAAATCACTATTTCCATTTCATTCTAACTATCTTTTTAGATAGTAGATTTTAAGCATGTTGGTGTTCATCTTTTCTAGCAAACAGTTTTGTGTAAAAGTTGTCCTCCCAGAGTTTTTACATTCTAGACTTTTAAACTGCCCATTTGCTTTTCTCAAAATCTGAAACCAAAGTACTTGAGTAGTTAAGGGCAAATTTTATAGCCACCAGAGAAAGTGAAACTTTATTTTCTATGGGAAATACTATTAAAGGTACTATTTTAAGGACCTGCTTTGCTTACTAAAATGTATTTTGAGTTTCTGAGGACAAGATGAAAGAGGAACAAGATAATAAAGATGAATTATTTCTACACTGTAAAAAGTCATAGAAGCAATAAAAATAAACTATGAAAGTGCCTTTACTATTGTTTATTCATTTTTGTCTTCTCCTGGTCCATAGTAGGTGTTGTCTAAATCTTTGTTGAATGCACAAATACCAGGATGAACTCTAGTAGCGGCAGTGTTAAAGGATTTGTTTTTTTAGGTAGACAACAGGTTAAGATAATTGACATCAGCCAACAGGGCTTCTTGTATGGAAATAAAATCTAGGGAATATGCAGTTTTGTTTCTTTTTTAGGTGTAATTTTTAAGTGTTCATGTTAGAACATTTTTTAAAAATACAGATAATTAAAAATATTATGAAAATTATTTTAAAGTTATAACACCTTTTGGTGACCACAGTATTGTTGACATTTTGGTGAACTTGCTCCCACACTGTTTCTGTATTCCTCTATGTATTTATGTGTTTATATGTGTATACATATATATTTGTTGACGTTAATGTCATAGTCTAAATATCTTGCAGATGCTCCAGAGAATAGACCTGTCTTCCTGTAGATTGGCCTCAGTAAATTGAGGTGATACGTTAGTGTAGCCAAAATATGTTACTTTCCACTGTAGTGTCTGGAGTTCCAATTTCAGCTCTGCCGTTTATTTTCCCTATGATCTTGGAGAAATTACTTGACTTCACTGGTCCTCAGTTATCTCTTTTGTAAGATATGACAGTATCAACTTCTTTGCCTCGTATTGTGAAGATTAACTGAGATAAAAATATGCTGTTTATAGTGAATACTCAGTGGTGCTTATTATTTTTACAAAGAACCCCTTATTTTTTTCATGTATGTTATTTTCACCTCTGTTTTTCAGTGAACAGCAAGATTGTGAAATTGCTCAGGAAATCCAGGAGAAGCTTACAATTGAGGCAGAGAGACGACGCATTCAGGAGAAGAAAGATGAGGTACAACTTATCGTGGGCTCAATGTTGGTTGCTACGTCGGATGCAGATCTCTACTGATTTTTAGTAGAACCGTGTCCTCTCTGGACTGCTCTTTATTGCCTCATCTCAGTTGTATAAGTGGTGAAATGAGAGGTGGTAGTGGATAATTGGACTTACGTTGCCTGTTTGTCTGTGGGTCATTCTTAGCAGCATTACAAAGAGCAGACCTTGAGTGTGAGCTGAACGTCACTGTGAGAGGCTGTCCATTGCTCTCTTCATAGTTTCACTGTCTCATGATATGTGAGCCAAACGAACCCAAATGTTTGATTTTGGATTAATTTTTAAGGTGCATTGTTTTTAGGGCTAGAAATGAATGAAATAACAACAGTGTTTTGTTTTTAGGAAAATTTGAATTTTCAGTCAGCTGTTTGTTTTTGTGCTTTTTTAAAAAAGTGCTTCCTACAAACACTTTCATTTCCGTGTTCATTTTTTCTGTATTTGCAGTCTTTGACAGTTCTTGTTCTTCATCATTGTCTTACTTTTATAACAGGAATGAAAATAATGCCATTTTTAATAGTAGGGTGACTGTATGATTTTTTATTGACACAGACACACCTTTGAGACTTAAAGACTACACTTTTATTAGCTAGATAAACACAGGACTGTCCTGAGCAAACTAGCACACGTGATCGCCCTACTAAATAGATACGATCAAGGTCATCAGTAAATTAACTCATCTACTCTTCTGTCCCCACTGAACCACATTGTCCTCATAAGCCTTCTTTTTCAGTGCCGGATGAATGTAAGGCACCTGGTCAGAGTGTATTTAGTTATATCTTAAAGAAGCAAATAACGATTGTGAGATAATCAGAACTTCATGTAAGAATTAAGAATTGATTTTGATCTCCTGTTGATCAACACAGTGGGCCTTCATACTGCAAAATGTATTGCTTCTCTATAGCCTAGATTGCTTTGGGGATGAAACTGGGACCTGAAAGAAGTGATTATATTTTGTAGACAGGAAAGCTTCTATGTTAAAATGTCAGTATAATGAAGTTGGCTTCTTATAAATGCTACTGATGTCCTGTAGTCTCCCTCCTCCTTGTCCCCCTCCCCCATTCAAGGAAATACAGGATAGAAAAAGAAAAACACTTTACTTTAGACCAATAACATGCTTTCATGGAGAATTGAAATAAAAATCACAGTTAAGTAATCTTATGGTAATACACATACTGCATTATGTAAGCTGGGCAGTAATGAAATCCAATTTTCTGATGAATAAATGAAATCTTAATTTATAGACTGTTCCCTGAAAAACGTCTATATAATTCACATCTATCTCCTGATTGACTGCTTCTAACTTAGGTATGCTGTGGCACTCTATCACACAATTCATGGTTCCTGCAGTTAGAGTGGACTTCGTTTGAATCTCAGCTCCTTACTTTGGTTATCTGACTCAGTGTTATAGAACTTCAGATTCCAAATGAGTTTCATCTTGTTAATTGCTTAAAGATTGTTGTGAGCTTTAATGAGATAATGTACACAGGACCTCTGGTATATACTAAGTTAATAATTGTGCTTTCTTTCTTAGTGTTTTCCATACCATTTTAAGTGGTTCCTTTTAACAATCCTGATGTCTTCTTTATAGAGAGACGTGTTTAAAATTAGAAAACATACTAAGCAGGATAAGTATGTTCCTATATGTTGTGATTTGAGGGCTTTGTAGTTTCTTTGATTTATAGCCCTCTTACTAGCCTGTCCTCCTTCTGTTGGATCTAGTGGAATGTTCTCCCTTCTCCAGTGCACTGGACAAATTAATTGAAAAATGCATTTATGGAAGTTAGTGAGACTGACTAACCTTTAAACACCCCATTCATCTTTTTTTTTTTTTTTTCTTTCAGCCTCGTTCATTAAAAGATGGTTCTATGCTAAGATATTGTTTTACCATAGAAAAATGTAACTCTTAGCTGACTAGTGTATTTTTCAATGATTAGTTTGCATTAGTGTAGTTTGTTATTGAGGAATACCTTATATTTTTATTTGTTAAATGCTTCTTTATTTTATCCTTTGGAAAATAGAGTGCCTCAGAGGAGATTGAGACCGAGAAAATAAATATTCATTCTCCAGCCAACTTTTGAAAAAGTATTGCCTGTTTTTCTTGAACTATGCTGACTCTACTTTGTGTGCATTTATCTGTGCATTTTCTTTGTTGTTGTTGTTCTTTTTTAATGTTCTTCTGTTTTCCCTTCTGCTAGGTTAATAAGTTCTTATTCAGTATCAGGGCTGTGGAAAATTCCTCTCTGATTTTTTTAACCAAATCTCTTTAAGAGATTTCTGGAGTTGGGTCTCCTCTGGGAGTTCAGAACTCATTTTATACTGCTCCTTCCCCTCATTTAAAACAAACAATAACAACAAACCCAAACCAGATACAGAAGCCATGGGCTTTTTCCTTTGTGTGAATAATATGCATGAGAAGTAGTATAATTGAACAGTTTTGTGTGGGTGAGCTAGCATTTCATATTTTCTTTTGGTATAATTTTATTGTGTTTTTAAACTAAGGCTTCACACCGGTTCAGTTATGGCAGACAGAGCAAAACCAGAACAGACCCATATTTTTAAATATTTGTGTGGCCCAGCACACACACCAGAAGATGAAAAATTACAGTCTTGAGAGAGGGAGTGTGACCCCTTCCAGGAGCCTAATAATCAGGAGATTCAGTTATTATCAGTACTTTGAAAAACAACAAATATTCAAAACAGTATAATAAGCTGCCATCTTTGAGGCGGGCACCATTGTTTTCTACTCAGCTGGTTAAGAGATTTGGTTGCAATGCAACATACACCCTGCCTGTGTTTTCTAAGAGGGAGATTACGTTTCTAATAGGGCTTCAACTGTAACTTTTCTCATTTGAGTTATTCTCCCATATTTCATCTACCATGTCTGTACCAGGCAGAACTTGGTTGAAGCCATGTTTTAAACAGAGCCCAGATATAAGGAATTTTCATGCAGGGAGATAAATGTGGAAAAGTTAAAAAGAAGAAAATTCTGCTTTTTTTGTCTTCTTACTGGTTCTGTGGTCTCTAACATCTCCTCACTTTCTTTGTGTGTCTGTTTTGTTTCTCAACTTTATTAAACAGTGCCTTGAATATAGTGAATTTCTTTCTAGGTACCTTGTTCTTGTATTGGAGTTTGTAGAAAAGGTAATTGAAAGATAAAGGAATTTTCCCATGAACTTTTTGAAACCCCCTTGTATGAGTTTGTGATTAGTAACTGTGTATAAATTCCACTGGGATCTTTCTTTCCATTCACAGCATAAACATATGTCAGTGCTATATATTAATAATAAAAAAGGAATGTATATTTAACTTAGTTATTAAAAAGAACTCATAATTGTTTGTATATATGAATACCTATAGATACAAATGTATGCATGTATATACACAGATATACATGTCTGTGTTTGCATTCAAGTCCAAATATATGTCAGTGTGAAAATCTTTCATGATTTTTTCTGTCCTCTTAAGCAAACATTAGTATGGCCAAATATGTTATGAAAAACTTGTGGCGCTAGTCCAACCATCTGAAGCCATTTATAATATGGACTGTTCAAAGATAGAATTAGTAATTCGTTTACATAAAAAAACTAATCATGATATTTATTCATGCTATAAAAGAATATATAAGTTGGTAGTATTTATAGAATCAGCTCAAAAAGCAACGCCTTTTAGTCATTTGAAAAATTCCCATGAATTCTCATACTTTTAAAAATAAGTTTATTCGTATATGGCCAGAAAGGGGAATGGAGGAAAGGCTTCTGGTTTAGAAAATGATTCTTTCTTATTCTAGTTGTATTGATGTTTGTACATCTGTGGACTGCTATTGTGGCACTATAGGATAAGCACTGGACTGCAAACCACTAGGTCAGCATTGTAAACACACCAGCTGTTCCTTAGAAAAACTATACAGGGTTAATTTGAGACAGAACCGAGTCGATAGGACTTAACAACAACAGCAACATATATCAGTAGAATGCTATTATTCTTTGTTCCTGTTCTCAGAGTTATTAGTCCTTTTGAGATCTTTGTTGTTATTGTTAGGTGCCATCGAGTAGTACCAACTCATAGTGACCCTGTGCACAGCAGAACGAAACACTGTGCCCGATCCTGGGCCAACCTTACTACTGTTGCCCTGCTTGAGTCCATCGATGCAGCAGCCCTTTGGCCAGTCCATCTTGTTGCGAGTTGTCTTCTTTTTCTCTGACCCTCTACCTTATCAAACATGATATCCTTTTCCAGCAACTGGTCCCTCCTAACAATATGTCCTAAATATGAGAGACGAAGTTTGGTCATCCTGGCATCCAAGGAGCACTCTAGCTGTACTTCTTCCAAAATGGATCTGTTGGTTCTTTTGGCAGTCCATGGCACTTTCAGTATTCTCCTCCAACACCATAACTCAAATGGTCTTCCTTATTCAGTGTCCAGCTTTTGCATACATATGAGGTTATTCAAAATACCATGGCTTGGGTCAGGCACACCTTGATCCTCAAGCTGACAGCTTTGCTCCTCAACACTTTAATTAAAAAGGTCTTGTGCAGCAGATTTGCCTAATGCAATACATCGTTTGATTTCTTGACTGCTGCTTCCATGAGTGTTGATAGTTGATCCAAAAAGAATGAAGTCCTTGACAACTTCAATTTTACTCCATTGATAAGAACGTTGTTTATTGGTCCATTGGTAAGGGTTTTTGTCTTCTTTACATTGAGTTGTAATCTGTACCGAAGGCTGTGCTCTTTGAGCTTCATCAGTAAATGTTTTAAGTCCTCTTCATTTTCAGCAAGCAAGTTTGTATCATCTGCATATCGCAGGTTGTTAATGAGTCTTCCTCCAATCCTGATGCCAAGTTTTTCTTTATATAACCCAGGTTCTCAGATTATTTGCTCA